ATATTGAGCATATAGTCCTGGCCGATACAGGTATCGTCCAGGCCGATCAGTTAATTACGGCTGCCTTAACTAAGAAATCCTGATTATATTTTCTATTTTGAACTCGATCGTCCAGGACGATATAAATATCGTCCGGGCCGATGTGAGTAAAAACACAAGTTCTAAATCTCTAAAGTGTGTGTGTAGGGTTACTTAACATCAGTCACTTCAAACAATTACAATTGACTCAAGAAAGAAAAAAGAAAATTACAGACTGACTCAACCCTAATCTACCCAATCTTGAGCTGATTCTGATTTCCATCTGATCTTTGAATCATGAAAATGTCAGCAGTAAAGGCAGTCGAAAAGAAGCAAGAGTGTTTGCTAATCATCAAAATATAATTCATGGAATCTGCAACAGCTCTCTCAAATCTCTAGCCAAAGACATCATTTATGAAGAAAGCATGAGACTATTTATAGATTTTTTTTAGTGTCACACCATGTAAATATGGAAGAAGATCCATGGCAGGTTTGGAGTGCTCCATCAGATGGCCCATATTGATTCCCTTGATCATGGAATATTTTTCAAACATTTATGTGATTTAATGGAGTCAAAATTAATCAATCTTGGGCTCGTTGGATTCATCTCGTCAAGCTGCTTGATTCGACTATATGCATGATATATTTATAGATTATTTGATTATCTAATTAATGCTTTGAAACTTCCAAATATATTTTGGCCTCTTGATTTGTGCCCATTTAGCTTATATTGGACTGACTTTGGTGTCGTTTGGTTCGTCTTCTCACTGAGTCGCTCAATTTGACTATAAGTTTACATAAATTAGAGTTTAGATGGTCCCAAATTTCATTTTAAAAGTTTCCAACTTTATTTTTCCTTGAGATTCATGCTTGATTAAGCAATTTTGGCAACATATCAAATTTATACGTTTAAATGCTTTATTTATACATGCGTTCGTATTTTTTTAATAAATGTTATGCATGCGCAAGTGGATGCACATGCATGCAAATTGCATATTCATATATGATTAATTTTAAGTTTAATCAAGCTAATTTTGAGTTAGAAGTCTTTGAAAATAGGTTATCATTTTCAAATTTAAGTAAGTTAATATTCAACAATCATTCAATGAGTTTCAAGTGTGTTGTATTTAATTATCAAGCCTCAACATTCGTCAAATGGCCTTGATAGGATGATTTGCATTATTCTTGAAGATAGATCCATTGGAGTACTCTTACTTGGGTCCGTGCTTCATTACATGAGCTTTATCTTGTTTTTTTTTTTTTGAAAGATGCATTAAGCATTAAAATAAAAAGAAGCTATTACAAACTAGAAACTAGACATAAGAAAAGACTTCAAAAAATGAGACTATCATAATGAAATAAGATCCTCTACTTATCATTTTAAACCAATTGGGGTGGAAGGGATACCAAAGATTAAAACAACCCAAATGTTGATTAGTATCCCAGAATTCTCGATTAGGTAAAAAATAAAAAATAGAGAGATGCTTATGTTCCACTAATCTAGCTTCCCTTTCCAAATTCCAACTTATGCTCAAAATAAAACTAGAAAACATAAAAGAAGACCATACTCGGCCACTAAGCAATCCACTTTCATCTTCTCATCTTTCTTAATCTTGTTAATCTCCATCTTCTACTTCTTTGCCCAATCCACGATCCCACCTTTTATTCCCTCAAATGAAAATATAACCATATCAAGAGGCAATTGACGAAGTGGATCTAACAATACCCAACTTCCTTCCTCTTAAGCTACCTTTGATCGGTCCAAATACATTCATGTCTTTAATGAATTTTTTCTTTTGATTTCTGATTTGGAAGGAATAACAAATTTTCCCTCCTCAGACATGGTTTTATTACTTTCCACATTGTATTCCTTAGCCAAAGGAGTGATAGAACTTTGCAATCCATCCAATATATTATCCTTCTCCTGTTCTTTGCACTTCACATGATCAACTGGATTAAAATTTTCATTAACAGAATTTAAGTTTTTGATTCCAGCATCTATCAGTGCCAATACCTTTTATTTTTTCAACCTCCTCTTGTTCCAGAATGTTTGAACAATCCTACAATTCTTCTGCCTCTTCAGCAATCTCAGCATTTTGATCTATTTCACCTTCTTCAAGTTGTTCCTGTTCTACCGAGACTTGAAAATCTGGGTCTAAACTATTATCTTTGGCTGGCAACACATAATCTTCAGCATCCATCCTGATCAATTCTTCAGCAAAAACTTGGGAAAGTAGTTTGAATTTGTTTTCAGATTGCTCTTTCACAGGTTTCAAGTTATATTCAATGTTCTTCTTCTCATCTACAACCTGAGATTTCTATTTTTGAAATCTTCTATTCCACTTGAACTTTACATGATTCCAAGGACCATAAGAGTTTTGTGGATTTACATTATCCAAATTGTCCTTCAATATCTTATCATGACTTGATCCCAACATTTTTGAATTCTCCACATTGATTCCCTTATCTTCATCTAAAACTTTATTGCTCACTTCTTGATCAATTTCCAAACATGTCTCCTTTTTGTGACCTATTTTGCCACAATTGAAACAAAACGAGAAAATATTTTTATATCCAATTTTCTAAAAAAAATTCCATATAATCCTTCAATCCAAACTCCATGAGGTAACTTAGAGTCTAGATTAATTCGTACACAAGCTCTAGCAAATTCACGCCTTCCCCATTTGAACATTTTCCCATCCAACAACAAGGGAAATCCTATTTTTGAGACAATTTTAGTAACATTAGTCTCATCCCAACAATGTAGAGGCAAATGAGGTAAACGAATCCAAATTGGAGATGAAAGCCCTTTCAACGACGTAGGGGAAAATTGAGGTGTCAATTTATCCATTCATATAATGTGTCCTCCCACATACCATGAACCTCCATTCAAAACCTCTTCCATTATCTGATGAGAATGAAATGAACAAAAAATCCATTCAACTCCCAACAAAATAATATGAATCTTCCCAAATTTATCCCATTGGTGCCTTAATTCAATGCTACAAAGAGAAAATGAGATTCCTTTCCCAAACACCTTCACCACAAGAGATTTTTGCAGCAATTTAATATTTTCATCCACCTTATCCAAGTCAAGTTTAACTACATCCGAGACAACATTATCTTCCAACTCCGGCTGAATTGGATTAGCTACAATATGCTTATTTTTGGACCAAATATTTGCTAAATTTAACATTTCACTATTCAGTAAGATATCATGATCATCTGTTAATTGATTTCCAACACCAGAAATCAATCCTTCAGTTTCTTTGATTTTCATCAAATTCAAATTCAAAAGCTCCTGATTTTCTGGCTCAACACAAGGTAAATATGAACATATGTTTACCTTTAATTTACAACCAATTGAGGATGACGCCTCCGAGTCATTAGCTGCTCAAGACGCCCAATTCTTTAATGGGGATGAAGGAATCGCCTTAATCTTATTACTCAAACTTTTTAAAGTTTCTTTGCCTTTGCCCAACATTGGAATCACATATTGATTAGGAAGAGATCGACCTTCATTGATAACCAAAGGTCTATGATTGATCGCAAATTTTTGGTTCCAGTCGTTACTACCTTTGGTTCCGCCATGATTAGAATCTAAGAGAGACCTGGTAGAAAGGAATTTTGAGGTATTCCGGTCATCAGGATATGATGACCGGCGCCCCTCCGCCATTCTTCACCGGAACCAGACGATCAGAATTTGAAAATTTGAAATCTTCTCTCTAGAATTGTGGAGCTTCTCTCTGTAGACCGAAAATTTAAACTTTATCTTGTTTGAGATGCCTCATTGATGTAAATTAATATTGTCTTGTTTGAGTCCATTTGAACGATAAATAGATCAAAAAAAATATCTTACAAATTTATTTTTGATATCCGATCAAAATTGAAGATATATATATATATATATATATATATATAATCTTTATGCAACCTTATTAGGTTTAAGATAATGTTAATTTTGAGACCATATATCCGGGTCGATCCGCCAAACTCTCGTATGGAATGATGGTCTTGCTTGAATTTTAAAAATGACATGACTTAATCTTTTGCCCTTCGTTTAATGGGGGTTTCATAATGTTTTCAATCAATATAACATAATCTTAAAGATGAGATGATAGCTTTGGAGATTTTAATTTCGTAGCTTGGCTTAAATATTGTACCATCATTTTTGTGATAATTCATTTAGAAAAAGGTCAAAATTTTCAACTAGGAAACTAATCCGCTCTCCAATAATTTTGCAATATGACCACATAATATTATTTTTGGCACTCAATATAATAAAAAAATAGCGAAAACATTAACTAAATATAGTGAATTTATTATCTTGTTCTCAATTTTGTTTTTATCAGTGCTAAGATCATTTCCAATCGAACTGCCGTTCGCTATTATCTGCATTCGAATTCCAAATCTTACGTCAAAATTCGGTAGGTAATTAATGCGATGTTAATATTGACGTCAAATTGTTCACCTACGCTAAAAAATGCGGTGTGGAATTTGCCAACGAAGAGTGCGAAATAGGAGAAAATTGCGCTAAAGAGAAAAGAGATGGTTGCCTTCCCAGGAAGCTCGCCAAAAAAAAAAAAAAAAGAAATGAAGTTCGATTGGAGATGAATTATGAGTTTATGACATTTTAAAATTTTATTATATTTTAGAGTGTGAAATGAGTTTTTCGGTTGCCTTTTCTTATAATCGAGCTCTATTTAACTATTTTGCCTAATTTTTTCGGCCGGTTGCCCGGTTTATCATTGCGCTAATAATAATAACACTAATACACAGCTCACCTTGGCTTGTTGGTTGAGAGCTTATGCTTCCAACTAAGAGGTCTTGGGTTCGAGTCTTTGTGTATGCGTTGTGTGTGTGAGTTTGCCTTAAATGACCTAAATGTCCCCAAAAAAAATAAAAATAATAACACTAATAATGAGTGCGGCAACCGATTTATAAGCCCATTTACTTATAAATAAAATGCTGATTACTGGCCTCTGAGCGCTATGGTTAGATTAGTATAAGCGTATATCATACTCTGCTTCCTTTAAAGAAAGCTCGAGAATTGGAGCGCTAGATCTGAATTAGCAGCGAGCGAGGGTGGTTGGTGACCTCACTTCGACTCCAGCCGCTCCTCGCAAACCACTCTTCTCTTCTCGAAATATAGCCCCACGTCCTTCTTATCACCCCTTTCGGTTCCTCCGAGCCGGTGCTTTTCTCGCCGGCGTCGTTGAAGATGACTGGCCTCTTCCGCCGTCGCTTTTACGCGCCGCCAATATCACGGGGGAGTGCTCTTATCTTCCCACTGTTTCTAGTCTTTCTCATATCGCGCGCCTCACTAACCTTCGCTGAAGACGTCGAACGGGGGAATGCGACGGAGTCGTCGACGGAGGCAGTGGGCAAGGATAACGATAGCTTTGCGGACATTATCGATCGGGCTCTGCAGAAAGAGTTCCCTGAAAGCGAGCAGAACGCGGAAGGTTGGCAGATCTTGGAGTCCTTGCGTTTTTCTTTCTTGTGATAGTGTTGATCCAGTAAATTTCCGAGAGAAATGTGCTTTTCTGAGTTTATGATTTAGGGTTTTTGTGTTTTGAGTTTGGGATGGAGTGGTTAACTGAAGTGGCGGGCTTTTCGGTCAGTATATATTATGCGATCCTGTATTGCTTAAAATACGTTGCAGTGTAGGGATCATCCTATTTTACTTATCATTTGATCCTTTTTCATTTGCATGCACGATAATAAAGCAGTGAGTTAATTGAAGAAATTCCGCGGAATGGAGCTTTTCGGCATTCTATTTTCGTATTTGGACCTGGTAACTTGTTATCTTTGGTAGCGCTTGTTTGGTGGTTCACTTTAGACAACTGTCAGCTTGAATGCCTAGGGCTAAAATATACTATAGTTAAACTTAAACAAGAGTTCCATTAGTAGTCCCTTCTTGGTATCTGTGGTTGCTTAAATCGTTGGTAAAATAAATGTTTTGTAACTCTTTTGAACGTAAGTGTTGGAAAATTGGTTCTCTATGCAACCTTGAAGGGTCCAAGATTTGGCATTTCTGTACAATAACACTTTCTTGCAAAGCGTTGCATAAATGGCTGTCTTCAAACTTCAAGATTTTTTTTTTTAAATTTTTTTCTGTGCTAGTGCAACATATTAGATTTGACCTATGTTAAGAGTGGTAGAGCTAGACCTAAAAAGATTTGGTTAGAAAAAATATTAGAAATGACCATCTTTTTTTTATTAGATTTAAATGAGAATTTAACTCTTAACAAGACACAATGGAGAAAAAGGATACAAATGATACATGTAGCCGACCACACGTAGTGGGATAAAGGCTTGTTGTTGTTGTTGTAGTAGTGCAACACAAGGCATTTGGATTATCTGGTGATGTGTCTTACTTATTTCTGCTTTTTTCTCTTTACAGAAATCAATCAAGATGGTTTCAACAACAGCGTTGCTAAAAAGAAGGTTTGGTTTATAATGTTTTAGTTTTATATTTTCTGATCATGTTCCTCTAAGCCAACAAAGACATGGAGTTATCCATATTTTTTAAATGAACTGCTTTATGCCATCCTTGTATGAAAAGGGAATTTGACAGTGGCTTCTTCATATCTATCTTGCTTTAATCCCATCGTGTTATGTTTCATGATGGCGTTCTTGCGGGTGTTTCTTTGAGCTCCTTTCATGAGAAAACTGAGGGGATTGTCGGAACAAGAAGGATAGTATATTTGTTGCATTGTATACTTAATATGGGGACAAAGGTCTTAGTAATCTTTTATCTGTTGCTTCACCTACTCATGAAGGCTCAATGCAGGGTAGAAGGAAAATGTATCTTATGTTTTCAATCTTATGCATGCAGAATTAGAGAATTTCTTTCACCTCCACTGCAATTGACCCCCAACTCCTTCCTTTCATAAGATTACAATTATTTAGTATGGAGGAACAAACTCTTAGCAATTTGTAACATGTTGCTTCATCTACTCCTAAGGGCTAGAATTTAAATGAGGTTTTAATTTTTTAAGCTCTCTCATGTTGTTTAAATGTTTATTTTTCTTCCTTCCTCACATTAATTTGGATCTTGTGAACTGTTGACGTTGTGGGCTTAGGCTTTGTTCCTTGCTCGCATCTGTTATTGTTATTTTAGCAGAAATTGATGAAATTCTTTGCAAGTTTATTTCCCATGGTTTGAAGCCCTGGGGGACGTGCATGCTCAGTATTGAATAAGTTTCATGCACAAGTCAAAATTTTACTGTGATGAAAAGCAAAGCAAGAGAAAACTTTACCAAACAAAGCAGTAGTCTTTTGCTGAATCTATTATCTCTAATGGGATTCTATGGTCAAACATTTTAATTATTTTGAAATCACTTCCAAGCATAGCACCATTGTTGTTCATTAGCCTGACTATGGGGATCGGCTTTATGGATGCTAAACATCTATTTTTTTTTCTTAATTTAATAAGAACTTCCTTTTTTTTGGCAAGGTCTAGTTGAAACAATCTTTTTAAATAATTGATCTGGTTACATCGTTTCTAGTGACTTTGATTTTAGGCCATTGAATTAGCTTATGTTTAAATGACACTGATTTCTTTCGTTACTCATATTACTTATTATGACTCACCTCAAGATGCATTGTTCCACTTAGTTTCTTCCTCTTTCTCTTTGATATATTTAACTCATTCTAAATTGTCCTACATGTTTTTTTCTTAGTTTATCAACTTTTCTATCCACTAACATTGTTGATTTATAAATGTCCTTAATTATAACTTTAGGTTATTGATCTTGCCTCTGTCAATTCAGCAATTGAGTTCATGTACTTAAGTTACGATGTCCCTTGCAATAATGCATCATGGATGTCTACTTTATTTTGTTTATTGACTTGTCCTTTTGCAATTTTCTGTTATGGAATGCAATGAGGTTTAAGCCCATTTATTTAATGATTCATATGTGCGCTGCTGTTTCCTTTCAATTTACTTGTTTGCAGGCTGTTTTGGAAACAGTAGCTAGAGTGACGAAGAAAAATGACACAAATGAGGAAAAGTATATTAATTAATTATTTGAATGGTTAATTATTTGTTGGCGAAGACATTGACAGATTCATTTACTTTATTTTCACATTCGGGCTTTCTTTTTCTTCAGATCTTTTCAGTTTCATAATGTTTTCAATAACGAGAATCAAGCAGAGGATATGCCCACTTTGATTGATCACAAGGTATTTTTTTAAAAACAAGCTGAGTGCATCTTGTATAATTTTTTCAACTTGCTGCTTTGCATTAATTTCCTGACAGTAACCTCTTTCAATTTCTATAATACTTGTTCTATCAGGATAATGTGTTTATAATATCAAATCCCAAGTCAAAATATCCCATACTACAACTGGACCTGAGGTATACCTGCCGAGTCTTTGATCTCAGAACTTTGGCTATTACCTTGAAATTTTTTGTTTTGGTTTTTGCTTTCCTAAGTATAACTAAGAAATCCTTTCTAAGTTTTCTCAATAAAATTTATGAACTTTTTTTTTAGTTATTTTATACACACCCACACCCACACACACACACACACACACACATATATATATATATATATATATATATTTCTTTATTTATATGGATTTTTGGATCTTCCCCTTACAACGGAATGATATTCCATTCCTTGCTCTTAGTCAAGGCTATTTTGTCTTTAGTTGCTTCTTATCTCTTTTGTCGGATGTAGTTTCCTCCCAATAATCCGTAGTTTTGCTTAGTGGATGAAATATTTTTAGTTTTGGGCTATGTAAGAAAAAGATTACGCTTATTCAATAGGAATATAGATAGCAAAATCCGAAAATACAGCTAACTTAGAATATCATTTAAAATTATGGCAATCAGATGATATGGATTAACTTTAATCATTTTTCTTGAGTGTTGTATGGGTTTTATAATTTTCTGCTTGTAATGAACTTTTTTTTGGGTTCTACATGGGATTGAAGAGTGTTTTGATGACCATTTTTGCAGTACTAATTTGAATTTGAATGGCCAATGATCTGATAATATCTAGATCCAGCACAAACACGCTGATTTCATTGAATCTTCAGTTTTCATATGCACATTCAAATTTGCTCCTAATCCACTTTTAATTAGCCACTGTTTAGACATCCGTTTGCTATTAACCTTTGTATTATCATTACTACAACCAAATTAGTTACTGTATAATTTATTGTTCCTTGAATTCACTGAGGCTACCAGGTAGCAACAGTGTTGTATCATCGAAGCTCTTGTAGTCTATTCAACCGTTGCTTTCTATCTCTTAATTATTTTTCCAATACTGATCCAGGTTTCGAAATCAAAGCACGTCCTTTTCCATCTTCAGTGCCAATATATTATTATGCATCTCATTTTGCCTACTGTTAGAAGATTATGAATCTAAAGTGAGCCTTTCTAAAATATGATGGTGTGGTTCCTTGCAAGAGACAGTTATTGACATTATTCAGTACAATATTGAAAAATAGTTGCGGTGACTTGCACTGCTTGAGATTTAGTAGGTGACGCGTGGCTCTGATATTTGCTTTTGATGTCTATGCTGTGTTGCTTTTTTATTTTATTCTTATTTAAATTTGGAATTAAATGAAGTGGACATTGCATACAGTGACAAGTGTGCAAGGGCTGCTGGATCGGCGCCCGGGTGACGTGTTAAATAGGCAAGGGTTCCCATATTAAGGACGGATATGGGCAAAGAAGCTAGTCCATGAAACTAAAATTAGGATAGGAACTTGGAATATAGGCTCTCTTACAGGAAAATTAATGAAATTAATAGATATTATCATTCATAGGAAGATAAATATTTTGTGCATTCAGGAAACTAAATGGGTTAGAGAGAAAGCTAAGGAGATTAATAGTTTAGGATATAAACTATGGTATTCGGGTAGGAGTCGTACTAGAAATGGTGCAGGTGTGATTATAAATAAGAGTTTGAATGATAATGTTATAAAAATTAATAAAATTAGAGATAGAATTATAGCTTTAAAGATTGTTAATATTATAAGTGCTTGTGCTCCTCAAGTATGTTTGAATATGAGTTTCAAATTAAAATTTTGAAATGACTTAGAAGAATTAATACAAAATATACCTCTTGAAAAAAGAGTTTTTATTAGAGAAGATTTAAATGGACATATTGGTAGAGAGGTAGATGATTTTAAAAGTATTCATGGTGGCCATGGGTTTGGAACGACAAATGAAGATGGTAAGACCATATTAATTTTTTTTAGCTTATGATTTCTTAATAGTTAATACCTTATTTAAGAAAAGAGATGAACATCTTATCACTTATAAAAATGGATATAATAAAACGCAGATTGATTATTTTCTTATAAGAAAATTAGATCGTTTAGATTTCAAAGATTGTAAAGTTATTCCGAGTGAAAATTTATGTACCCAACATCGATTATTAATTTTGGACTTTAAGATAAATGGATAAAAAATAAAAAATAAAGTAAAACTATTTTTTAGGATTAGATGGGTGCGTTTAAAGAATATTAACAAAAATATTTTTGAGAGTAAGATTTTAGATCTTAAGATTCTGTTTGTGCATGAGGATGTCAATATTATTTGGGAAAAAGTAACTTGTGTATTAAGAATATTGCAAAAGATATGCTTGAAGTTTCGAAGGGAAAAACTCATAATAGTAAAAATAGGTAGTGGTGGAATCCAAATATGCAAGAAAAGATAATAAATTAGAAGATTTGTTATAAAAATTGGTTTAGATGTAAAAGTTCTAATAATTGGGAAAGCTATAAAGAGGCTCGTAAGGAATTTAAGAAAGTTATTTGCGATGCAAAAATCTTAGCTTTTAATGATTTATATAATAGATTAGATACTAAGGAGGGAGAAAGATATATGTACAAGTTAGCCAAACAAAGAGATAGTAGTAAGGATTTAGTTCAAGTGAAGTGTATTAAGGATGAAGATCAAAAAGTACTTTTCATAGAAGATGATATTCAACAAAGGTGGATGATATATTTTTCTAAGCTTTTTAATGAAGAATGTGAAAATGCGATTGACTTAAGTGACTTTTATCATCCTAAATGAAAAGAAAGATTTTTGTTTTTATCGACGTATAAGTAAAACCGAAGTTAGAGAGGCTTTAAAGAAAATGAAGTGTGGAAAAGCTGTTGGACCTGATGATATTCCAATAGAGATGTGGAAATGCTTAGGAGATGAAAGAATTTCTTGGCTTACTAAAATTTTTAATACTATTTTGAAGACTTAAAAAATGCTAGATTAGTGTGTTAATTCCTATTCTTAAGAATAAAGGTGATGCACATGAGTGTGAGTATTATAGAGGAATTAAGTTAATGTGTCATACTTTAAAATTATGGGAGCGAGTTATGGAGCGTAGATTGCGGCGTAATACTAATGTTTCTCAAAATCAATTTGGATTCATGTCGGGTAGGTCTACTATGGAATCAATACATTTATTGAGAGGTTTGATGGAGAAATATATAAAGAATGAGGAGGATCTACATATGATATTTATTGATTTAGAGAAAGCATATGATAAAGTTCAAAAAGAAGCGCTATGGAGAGTTCTTGAAAAGAAAGGAGTTAATAATGCGTATATTCAAATCATTAAAGATTTGTATGCAGGAGCTATTACTTGTGTTCAAACACAAGGTGGTTTGACCAAGTATTTTCTTATTTCGGTTGAATTACATCAAGGATCAGCCTTAAGTCCATATCTTTTTGCTTTAGTCATGGATGTTCTCACTAGACATTTGCAAGAGGATGTACCTTGGTGTATGCTTTTTGTTGATAATATTCTTCTTGTTGATAAGACTAGAGAGAGAGAGTTGAAGGTAAACTTGAATTATGGAGGTCAACTTTAGAGTCTAAATGTTTTCGCTTAAGTAGATCTAAAACTAAATGTATGGAGTGTAATTTTAGTAGCAATAGACCTAGTGAGGGGATTGTCACTTTGGGTAATTAAGTCATTAACAAGGTTTTAAAAGGCGAAATCGGGAATCGAGACGTTTTTTCTAAGCGAGGCGAGGCGTAAGCCTCGAGACGGATCGAGGCGTAAGCCTCAAAACGATTAAAATAAATTAATTTAAAATTATAAATAATGACAAAAAATAACAGAATATTATCTCAACTATGAATTTGAAGATTTGTTTTAAGATAATAGTACTGGAATACAAGATTTAAAATAAACTCACTTAAAATAAAACATCCCCTTAGGATCAAGACCCAAAGCAGGCTCATCATCACTTTTATTCTCTTCAGAAGAATCTTCATAATTAATGACAAAGTCATCCTCTAACTCTTCTTCTATAATATTTTTTCCTTTATCTCCTATATCAGTTAATATTTCATTAGCTCTAAAATGAAACAATAGTAACATACAAAATAATTCATTATACTTAAGAATACTTTTAAATTTTTTTGAAGCTCCAATCTCACTTTGTTTCTTTCTTTTATATATTTGAGTAGTTGCTTCATTGTCTTCTTCATTGACATGACCTTCTCCTTCTGCTTCAACTTCAGATACATCAGCATTCTTAGGAGTAACCCATTTATCATCAGATTGTAACTCATCAACAAGCAAAGGGTCAATTCCATTCTCAATATTTCCTTGATTTTGCAATTTGAGATGTCTATCTTTCAGTTTTTTGTTAAACATAACATAAACTAGTTTGTTCATTCGATCTGCCGCAC